TCTAAGTTTCTACATTGAGACTGAGATCTGAGACTGAAAATACGTATCGGTGAACATTTACTGAAGACTCACTGATTAGACAAGCCACAGGAAGATAAAATACCCGACCTCGTGGCACTGACCTTCTGGCACAGTGGTTCTCACACCCTAGCGGGTATCCAGATCTTCTGGGCGCTTCTTAAAACAGATGGCAGGGACCCACTGCCCCGTCCCCCAGGCTATGTCAATTTAGTAGGTCTGGGGGCCCCCCCAAGATGTTTTTTGGTTCCTCGCTTTGAGATCTGACTTGGCCCTTGATTGCCAAGTCAGGGCTGCCACCTCCCCTCGGCACAGAAAACGGCACAGTACTTGGCACACTGTCTTTGAAAGACACCGTAGTTCTTGCGCTAAATCAAATTCACTGAAAACACTGGTCATGGATAAGCAAGACAATACATGAAGGAGAAAAGAAGCCAAGCCCATCTGCTCTTGATATGGAGAAGTAAAGAGTAGGCCTGGAAACTCCCAGGCAACTCAGTGGCCTCCCTTCTCTTACCATAGGAACCAACATAAAGCCAGTGAAAAATCAAGGAGAGATAGTATCAGCGAGGCGGTAATCCTAGTAACCTAGACCATTTGATGAATACCGTCCCAATCCACCTTATTCCTTCACTGCAGTTGTTCCTCATAATGGTTCCTGGCTATTTACCCAGTCTTCCCACAGTACTTCCCTTGGAGATGTTATACAGCCTGCCTGTGCCCAGGGAGTACCACATCTATTTCCAGTTCTGTGCACATCTGTGATTACTAACTAGACATCCCCATTTGAACACTATCCAGCATCACATTTAACATGTCTAAAACCAAACCTACCTTGCTTCCTGAATCCCTCTTATTTTTTTGTGACTTTAAGAGATGGAAGCCTAGCCACTCAGGCTTAAAACCTTGTAGAAGCTGTTGGCTCATTATCAAAAAATATTATCATAGCAGCTGAGACTTAAAGAGTGGTTACAACAGATGCTTCTTAACTTACAATGGAGGGAACATCCTGATAGATCCGTTGTCAGTTTAAAGTATTGTACGTTGAAGACACATTTAATATGCCTAACCTACCAAACATCACAGCTTAGGCTGGTCTCCCTTAAATGTGCTCAAGAACAATTACATTAGCCTCTGTTTGGGCACAGTTGGTAGTTTACCTTTGTGATCCGACGTGGCTGACGGGAGCTGCAGCTCACTGCCACTGCCCAACTCCCAAGAGGATCATTCGGCATATATTTAGTTAACCTGGGAAAAGATCAAAATTTAACATTCAAAGTTCAGTTTCTACTGAATGTGTATCACCTTTGCAACATGGCAAAATAGAAAAAACCTAACTCGGGACTGTCTGTGTATTATAACTGATATGTAACTGAGTAAACATACACAGTTCTTTAGATACACATAGCAATTTTGTTCATTAAATGAGTTACTAGGCCCTGGCTGGTGTAGCCAGTGGACTGAGTGCCAGCCTGCGAACCAAAGATTTGCAGTTCGATTCCCAGTCAGGCCAGGTCCCTTGTACAGGGTGCACAAAAGGCAACCCCCTGTTGATGTTTCTCTTTCTCCTTCTCTTCCCCTCTCTCTGAAAGTGAACAAATAAAAAAATTTTTTTAAAGTACCATAGGCACCTCAGTGGCTTGATTTTAGGTATAAAATAAAATAAAAGTCATAATACTACCATCCTACCCTTTCCACATGCACTGTCCCTACCCCAAAACCCTTGAAAGGGCTAAACTGTTTGCAGTTTCCAAGAACTCATCCTACCTATCCCTCTTTATTCTCTCGTCAAGCTAGTTGGTTTCCTTCCTGGTCCTGCCACCTTGCCTTCGTATAGTTCCTGTCACCTAACACAAGAAGCATTCTATCGTCTACCTATTTTAATCAACATTATCCTGAGGCCCCCTTTCTTCGGGGCTGGTCCGATTCTCGCAGCCTTTTCCATACAACGTGGCATCGATCACTTGTCTCATGGGCACAGATCTCCACGCCTTTTGGAGAGAGATGACGACCTAACCTTCCCCGGCAACCCTACTATCCCTGCTTCCTAACACACAGCCCCCCCCCCCCCAAACATGTTGCTTCTATGATGCTGAAGGGCTGGGGCGTGGTAAGAGAGTTATCAGACGTCCCTAAACTGAGTCTTAAATCAGGAGAGGGTGAGAGGGATTCTGCACACCGACGACGCTGCCCGTGCACCCTCAGGCGGGCTAGGGCACGCGCCAGCCCCGTGCAGACTCGGGCGGCCTCCAGGTGCGCGGTGGGGTTCGCGACCGTCCAGGTATCCCTCCATCCCAAGGACCGACGCCAATTCCCACCGCCGCTTCGTCCGCTGCGGCCACCACGAGGACCTCAGCAAGGACCCTACAAACCAGAGTAGCAGAGATAAGGCTTTAGGCCGCCGCACTTTCCTGCACTCACCTCTGCCTCCACGAGGGATCCTTACGCTCGGACCCGCCCACCGGATCCACCCCTTCCGGCATCGCTCCTGGACCCTCCTCTGCCCGGCCTCCAGAGCGGAAATAACGTAATACCCGGGCTCTGATTGGCTAGCATCAGCCGGGGAACGGAAGTCAGTATTTCGCAGTCCCGCGATCTGGCAGCTGGTCTCTCCAGCTTCCTGGCACGTTGATTGTCCTTACCCACTGAGCTTTCCGGAGAGAGGTTCGGAATGCAGCTCGGCCGCTTTCTACGAGGAACTTAACCCGCCTCGCCAGCCGCCCGGATGGGACCGCCTGAGTGCTGTGAGAGGCGGGGCACAGGCCGGGAGGGGAGGCGGGGCATAGCGGCCCGGGGGCGCGGCGGGAGGTGCGGGGGCTGGGGGCGCGGGCTGGGGGTCCGGGGCGGGGGTCAGTTCTGACCGTTCTGTAGAAGGAGCCTGCTGCGTCTTCCTCCAGCTGTTGGGTTCCGCTCGCCCGACGTGCTGTCGGGGACGTCTTGTCCAGGAGAAGAGAGAGGGTAGGCAGCCTCGGGCACAGGAACAGTGTTGCTAGAGTCACGGGAGAGGCGCGCGCCCTAGGATGCAGGTGAAATAGAGCGTCGGGAGGCCTGCTGGTTATAGTGTCAGAGTGGAGTCTGTGTTGCCGCTGGGGTTGACTGGGCGTTCCACGACCCGGGAGCAGCTAGAGTCAGGGCTGGGTGGGCGATGAGCTCTACGTTTCGAATTGTCTGTAACCCCGCAGTCCCTCGAGTGACATTGTTCTGGCTTTGTGTTTTCGCTCCCTGACTGCTTGAGGGTGAAATGACCCAGAGCTGATTCCTCCTTCCTCCGCAGTTGAGGCTTAGGTGCTGTGTTACCTAGTGGGAATTACCTTTTCTCTCTTGAAGTTCTGCCCACTCTTGGGCTGCATAGAAGTGCTCAGAAATAAGTCCTGATGTCTGTAACTGTGGAAAATGAAAGCTAATGCGTACGTTATACAAAAGAAATAAGCCTCTGTTTTCTCTTATTGAACGAGATGTCTGCAGCTAGCCTAGAAATTAGACTTTTATCTACATTATCTGATTTTCTTCAAAAGTTTCTTGAGTTTTTAAGGCATGTTCAGCTAGTCTTTCATGTTCAAGAAAATTGCAATAGTGGAGAATGGGTATCATGAGACCATAGATACGTGTTGCAGTATAGATGTTTTGAAACAAGATTGCTGTGGGTTGGATGAATGTGAGGAAATTGTGACAGTCCATTATTTCAAAGTTTGGTGGGAAAGGGAACATTTAAGTGTGTATGGTTAATATGCCCTATAGGCGATGCGCATTGTATTATTATAGAGAAAAATGTCTGCTTCAGTAGAAAACTTACTTGCCTAGGTATTAACTGGGTGACACCCCTTGGATTATCTGATTCCAAAAAAGCTATTTTACAACTGTGTAAATTGTAGATAACTAAGGTCAGTACTAAATAATTTTTGTCTAAACATGCAAATTTTGTCCTTTTAGAGGCTCAGTAGAAGTTTTAGTATCTCGTACATTCATTTCAATATTCCTAATTTATTAAATGTACCCAGCTTTGGGATTGCCTTTGTCTTTCATCTGCCTGGTTCTCTTGGGAGTTAAAAAAATCTTGAACACATATTCATTTTTATATTTGAATGAGTCATTTTACCTTAAAAATTCTCTTATATTAAATGTTAAATATAAACAGGACAACCACAAATGGAAAAAATATTATAATAAAAGTTGGTATAAGAGCAACTATGATTGAGTGCTAAGATTATGCATTTTTAAAAACCCCAATACATATACTAACTATTCACCAGTATCACTCTGGTTTCTTATTGGTTTTCAGTTGCTCAGTGTATTAATACTTATCATTGGAAATAGTAATAAAACTCTTTCAATATGAATACGCTACTACTAATGCATCGTCACAGCATGTGCTTTGGATGTTTTTGAATGATGGTGTTAAATTTGACCTGAGCCACTGACATGGCTTAGAAATGTTTTGGTTATACTGTATTTATTGTTGACATGTTTGAACACTTGTTTGTTTTTCCATTATTTTCATTTGCATGGAATGACTTAAATGTAGTAGAGCTGATGTTCCAGTAGGGGTATTGTACACAAATAACTAATGGACCCTGAAGTTTTAAATATTGAAATACAAAAAGGTAAAGAATGTTAAACCTGTCATTTATGCAAAAGCAGTAAAATCGAGCTGGTCAAAAAGGGAGGTCAAAAGCAAGGGCAGTTCTCTTTGTGGTTTTATCTAGCCCTGTCTAGTCAGTATAAGGATTTTGAAGAATGAGTGAACAGATTTAAAGTTCTTGTTTTCCGGTGGAAAATGATACCGTTTTCTTTTTATCCAGACAACTATCAGGTTGTTTTGCGACAGCGATCCAAGATATTCAGGTTAATTCTATTCAGTCCTTTAAAAAAATTGTTTTTCAAGAGAAAGTGAGAGAGAGAGAAAAACATCAATTTTGTTGTTGCACCTGGCCAGGGATTGAATGTGCAGCCTTGGTATATCAGGGTGATGCTCTAACAGAGCTACCCAGCCAGGGCTCTGTTCAGTCTTGAGCAATAAAAATCTAATCTCTCTAGCCAATCCAGTTATTCATATGAAACACTAATTTAGAAGGACTTCTTAAACTAAAAGATGACAAGAGTGAGAAAAAAGAGAAGCCACAGTGTAATTAGAGCCATTTGTACTCATGTACTTCAGTTATTAAGGATACATAGTGTCTTTGGGCCTTCATCCGTGAAGGTACTGAAGATAACCCTGAAGACAGCATGGCTACAGAAAGAGGTACGATCCATTCTGGAATCTTGGTTGTTCCATGTATTTTTTGATCCTGGGACAGAAATGTCTTTTTTTCAGGAGACTTTTTTTTTTAATACTAATGTTTCATGTTTGCTTATGAACCTGTTTAAAGTACAGAACTGATCAGTTGATTTTCATTGAAAAATCTTCACCCTCATTTATCCAAAATTCTGGCTATAGCCATAACTTACTGGAGCCTTCCCCTCCTTCACTGCCTTCCTCACCCGAGCCCTCTGCATCTTCCTATCACTGGGATTCTTCATCTGAGTCTGGGAACCCTCTCAAAGTTAGTTATTTGCAAGTCTGTGCTTGTATGAGCTCATGTCCTCACATTGTGGGTGGTGAAAGGGTCTTTATCGCTCTTGTGATTTTCAAAGGGGTCTGTGACCCCAAGAATATTAAAAAGCACAGTTCCTTAGGGATCAGGAATCAGATTTCCCTGCCTAGCTTGGCTCCGGGGCTCCATTCACTTTATTGCCAAGGTGTACATGTTGGGGTATGGGCAATTGAAATTTCTTTTTGGTCGGAAAGATAAATTTCTGTTTAGAGCTGGAGCTGGAAAAGAATTCCCCCTCAGTTAACTGCCCCTACAATGCCATTGAACTCTGCCCTGTGAAAAAGCCCCCCCGACTGTTCACTGCTCACTTAACATCCAGTGTCTCCTGGGTCACAATGGCTTTTAAGGTCTGGGAAGAAGATACAACACATTGTACTGACAAGATGAGTTTGGAGATAGTGAAGAACACCTGATATGAACTGTCAGAGAAGATAACAGAGTTTCAGGGAGGGAACAGTCAATAGTAATTGCAGCTAAAAGTTGGTCAGCTTTTGGCTTTGACATCTGGGGAGCTAGTGTTGATTTCGAAAGGGCGGCTTTAGCCTTGTTACAGAGATGGAAGCAGAACTGCAGGGGTTGAATAAAGGGCGGAAAAGGAAGCAGAGCTGCAAAGCAGGTTACTTTTCAAAAGTTAAGTGGTGAAAACAGAAGTTTACATTTCTGAAGAAACTGGGTAGGAAAATTTTTGAAGAATAGGCAGACCGAAGGGAAGGACAGGTCCCGCTGTGACGGAGAGTTGACCTGGTGAGGTCCCGTCTCTTAGAGGACCAGTCAAGCAAGCGAAAAGCCTGTGCGGGCTGTGTGTGTCCTCTGCTCGGCCTGCACATTGTTCAAGTCTGAATATTCGGGAACAGGTCAGCAGAACTGGCGGTGCCTCCAATTTCAAAGGCCGATTGGGTGGACTAAATACAAACTTCCGGATAAAATTAGTTTGTTTCAAAGTAACCTCAGAGGAGTACTTAATGTCAAAAAGCATCCTGTCCAGCAGTTGTGTTGGGGCTCTGATAGAGCGGGCAGTGAGACTGGCAGGAGTGGAAGGGGAATGAGAGGCTGGGAACGAAATGTCCCCGGGGCAGGAAGTCCCGGGTGCTTAGCAAGGGGCAACAGTAGAGAAGCCACTGTTAAGGGCTAGGACCTCACCCCCAGGGTGACCTCTCCACTCCTGGCTTGTCCATAGTTTAGACCCCCCACCCCCCAGAGGAGGAACAAGGAGGGCAGAGAACAACCTCAAACACTCTCCCATACAAGCCCTTGTAGGACCACTCACTTAGTTAAGCACTAAGCCCTCAGGACAGTGAGGCCCTGATCAGCATCAAATAATCCCTAGGAACAAAGCCCCAGAGACAGAGAGTTTTCGTCAAATTCCGGTGACCTTTAGGCCTTAGTTTTCTTTTAGCTCCAGGCCCATAAAAGAAACAAAACCAGAGGATGTGGCCCCGTGGCTGACATCAGCATCAGCTACAATGATCAGTGACCCCTACTCTGGTGCCACCGATCAGTAGAGACCGGACCCTGAAAGGACACACTGGAGAGCTGGTGACTGTTTTATTGAGGTCCTCCCCTGAGACCGCCCCTAAAATTTCCTGCTTTTAGAAAACAGAAACCCTGGAGACCAGGAACCCTGATGCCTGTGTGCACGAGCTCACTGGCGCAAGCACGCAAGCTCTCTCACTCACTCACTCACTCACCTGTGCCTCTCCCCTCTTTCTTTCCTTAGACGTGTATCTTTGGCTTCCTTTCTCCTTAGCTCCAGGGGTCCTTCTTTTGCCCCTGTAACTCGTTTCTTGTGTCCATGCAGCTCAGCTAGCTGACTTCTTCTGCCTCTGTGACTTTCTTTCTAAAAGGGCTAAATAAACCTCTTTCACTAGAGTCTTGGCTTTGAATTCTCTTATCTGAATTCAAGGACCAAGGTCCAACTCCACCACTAACAGTGTAATGATCTACAAGGCCTATCTGAAAGCTACATAAATGACCGTTTCCTACCACACAGTGTTGGTACAGGAATTAGCGTCGTGTGTCAGGTCCGTGGCTCATTCCCACGTCTGCAGTGTTAGGATCCCGTGTCTTCAGCACGAGACACCAAGGCATTAGGCGTAGAAGGTCATGTTTGTTCTCCATGGCTCTTAACAACACACATGAGGATCATACAGAGAAATTGTCAAGAAGCTCACATGCCAGCTTTTATTCCCTAGTCATCTCTTACGTGTGTTCAGTGTTACTGGCAACCTCCAATTTACCAAACCCACTAATCAATTCTCAGTCCTGTTCCTCAACCTTTCAGTGGCTGATCCTTTCTGATCCTTTCTTCTTAGTTACTTTCTTCACTTGGCTTTGAGGCTGTTATACTTTCCCGGTGTCCTTTCCCTTCTTATCAGTCCCTTCCACATCTCATGTTTTGACTTGTCCTCATTCCGACCTCTAAATTCCGCTTTAGGACTCAGCCCTGGGATCTTGGATCTCTTATATGTTTGCATTTCCTCTCTTGGTGATTCTGTCCAGTTCCCAAAGCTTTAAATACTGTCTGTATGCTGAGAGTTTCATATTTATATCTGTAGCCTGATCTCTCCTCTGAGCTCTAGCCTCATATAGTCAATTGCACGTTTGACATAAATACTTCGCCATTTAATGGGCATCTCATACTTAACACATGCAAAAAATGTAAAAGGAAAAAATACATTGATTATCACTTCACAACCTTCTCCAGCCTTTTCCCTTCTCTGTAAATATCATGACCGTCTACTCAGTTGCTCAAGTAAGAAATGTAGAGGTATCTTTGATTCTGTTTGTTTCCCTCACCTTTCATATTCATTTAGCAAATCTTGTTGACTCTAGACTTAAAATATGTTCCAAATCCAACCATTTCTGGCCACCTTCCTCACTGTCTCACATACAGTCGATTACTGCATTGTTTTCTACCAGTCTCTGCCCTGAGTCTTGGCCCCTAGCATACTCTTCTGAAGTTATTTATATTAAGTCATTATCTCCATCAAGATGCACTTATATTTACAGTAAGATCTAAAGTTACTGTTATGGGATACAAACAGCATCATCTGGTCTTCCCCTCTCTCAGCAGCCTCCTCACCTGCCACTCGGTACCTAGCTCATTGCTCATTCTCCTCCAGCCAGACCAGCCGCTGTGCTCTTCCCGGGTGGCTCCAGCCCCCACCTGGCCTTTTGGCCTTTGCACTCACTGTGTCCTCTGCCTGAAACACCCTCTGGGGCTTCACAGGGCTTGTCCCCTCCCTTAATTTAGCTCTCTCCTCATTCTGTCACCACTTCTGTCCCCACACTCCTTTCCTGCAGTTATTCTGATGGACGGCTGCTTGGCTGGTTTGATCGGGGTTTACCAGTTCTTCTCCAGGAGGCGCAACCTCTGTGCAGGCGCGGACTTGCTCTTACTTAGCCAGTGTGTCCCCAGTGCCTACGACACATGACACACGAAAGACACTTACAGAGATTTGTGGAATGAATCAATCTGGCTTTTTACTGAAATTGCTCTCTGGCCTATTGGCAAATGAAGTATCCCTTTCTCATGTTAAATTTCCCTTGACCTCTCGGAAGTAGTTGACACTGTGTATCTTCCTATCACTGTCCTCTTAATTTCTGCATTTTCTTACAACTAACCTGCACACATCCTGCAAGTTGTTGAATCCCGTTAATTCTTTCTTGGTATATTGTCTCTTAAATCCATCCTGTCTCCTCCTCCTTCTCCAGTTAGTTCAGAGCTTTATCATCTCTCACTTGAAGTGACCTCCCTGCCTCCCATTTTTGCCTTACTCAGTGTATCCTCCATGTTATCATTAGACTGAACTCCTTAAAACGCACGCATCACTTACCTCTGTCTCTCTGGCAGCACCTAGCATTTTCCCTGCCGAAAGCAGACACTCATCGAGTGTTGAATGACTAGTCTGTGTTTCTGGAAAGGAGAACGGGTGGACATGTGATCATTTTAATGACTGTAATTCTCTGTAAATAATTTGTGCTTGAATAATCCCTCTTTCTTCCTGCTTTGAAAATGCTGGAAAAAAATTGAAAGAAAAAATTGTTTGTTGCACATTGATTTTTGTGGACTATTTACGTGGCTGTAACAGCAGTCTGCTGTCAGAGAACTTCACAGTGGAGTTTTGTTATCTGCTCTGATAGAAGGAAAGTGGTGTCTGTGCTTCCCTGTTAAAACAGTCGTTTCTTCTCTCTTAAGCACGTCTCCAGTGAACACTGAACTGCCGAGGAATTTGGGAAAAGACCGTCTACAGGCCCCGTTCCATGGATCCCCTGGGGGCGCCTTCCCAGTTTGTGGATGTGGACGCACTGCCAGGCTGGGGAGACTCCTGCGAAGATGAATTAAATGCTTCTGATACTGCAGCCGACACAGACACTATTAGATCGCCTTTTCTGTATAACAGGAACATCAATGGAAAAGTGGTTCTTTGGTAATTCTTTCATTAAATCACATCATGATATGATAATACTTTCTCAGGGCTTCTTCCTAAGTTCTTTTTACTCAGAGTTTCTTCTAAGCTTTTTTCATAAGCCCTGGCATTTTTGAAATACTGCTTTGCATGGACAGACACAGCTTTGTTGAGGTATAATTGACATACAATGAACTATACCTATTTAAAGTGCACGATTTGGTAGATTTGGACACAGGTATACTATACACCCGTGAACCCATCACCACAGTCAAGATAGTGAAGATATTTACCCCTCCCCCCAATTTTTTGTGTGTGTTCCTTTGTGATACCCTCCCTGCCCTTCCCTGCGTCTGCCTCCCCAGGTAGCTGTCACTGTGTCACGACAGGTTAGTTTTCACTTTCTAGAGATTTATATAAAGGGAATCGTGTACTCTTTTTTAGCCTGGCCTGTTTTATTCAGCATATTTGAACGCTCATCTGTGTTGTTGAATATATTAGTAATACACTCGTCTTTATCAAATGCCTTATTGAGGTATAATTCACTGATTTAAATTGTACGAGTCAGTGGTAAGTGTATCACAAACTTGTGCAGCCATCACCATGGTCAAGTTTAGAGCGTTTTCGTCAACCAGAAATTCTGGTATCGTTAGTTGTCGCTCCCTCTCCCTGGAGTCCCCCTGTGCGCGCATGCGCGCGCGCGCGCGCGCGCACGCACGCACACACACACACACACACACACAGTCTCTCAGCTCTAGCCAACAGCTCATCTTTCTATGTAGATTTTCCTATTCTGGACATTTAATATAATGGAATGAATTGTGATTCAGTGTAACAGTTTGTTTTATGGGCAATTACAACAATATTCCACTGGATGGGTATGCCACATTTAGTTTATCAGTTCATTAGTTGATGGACATTTATGATATTTCTACTTTTTGGCCATTAGGAACAGCTGTGTCTGAACTCTTTAAACCAACCGCTTCTGGCACTAGAAGCATTCTGTAACAATGAAACCTATATGAAGTAAGTAAAAGAATAGCACGGTGGTGTTAGTTTTAGGGTTGTAACAATCACATTAACTAACATCTAGCTAGGGTGCCATCTCTTTCTGAGTTAGGGACAACTGTTTTTCCACTATTGCTTAAGCACGTGAGCTAGCAAAACCAGTGTTGTGAAGGGAGTGAGGGAAGAATTTTTTGGTTTTTTAAAAATTTATTTCAGAAAGAAAGGGGAACAGAGAAACATCTCTTTGTTGTTCCACTTAATCTGTATGTTCATTGGTTGATCCCCGTGTGTGCCCTGACCAGGGATCGAACACTTATCCTTGGCTCCCCAGGGTGAGGCTGCAGCCAACTGAGCTACCTGGCCAGAAACCAGCTTCTTCTCTCCCTCCTCATGCCCACACCTGCTGTTCCCTTGGTGTTTCCTCAGGAAAGGAGACGTGGCCTTGCTGAACTGCACAGCCATTGTGAACACCAGCAATGAGAACCTCACGGATAAGAACCCTGTGTCAGAAAGTATCTTCATGCTCGCAGGGCCCGATCTGAAGGAGGAGCTCCAGAAACTTAAGGGTGAGTGAAATGCCTTGGGTATCTATTGCTTCAGAAACATTCGTTTTGATATTAACAGAAGCATATTTTGCATTTTATGTGAGAAAACTAGGGAGATAGAGCTGTTTTGCTATTGTTGTTAAAATTAAAAATGGCTTTTGAAAATTCCACAGTGTGTTAGAAGCTGAACACTGAGACTTTACTCTCAAGAAAACTCTATCATGTTCTCGAGTTTTGGAATGACAATCTCTGTAGCCAGTTACATCTTTGGCAGCATTTTCCTGTCCGTATATACTTTCTTGCATAGATAGGCCATATATAACAATTTATCCTTTGTCTAAACAGAAAATTTTGTGTGCATGGAATTTAATAGTGATAGAGAATTTTTTATGTACCTCCTGGACCTAGACTATGGCACTTGTGAAATGAAATCAACTTATTGATAAATTGAGAGTATATCACAAGAGCCACACATATTCTCGATTATTTTTGTACTTGTGACTGTTTTTTTTAAAACCATAACATTCTTCTGGGAATGTTTCCTTAGAAATGGGGACAAGAAGAGTCCTGTTGGTTCAGAATCAAGTTTACCTTTATTTGCATTTATTTTCTTAAATGACTAACCCAGCAACCTTTTGCTACTGTTATTTGAGCCCAAATGGAATATTGTAAAATTCAGCCGTCGCACTTTATAAAGTGTGTCTGTGAAATACAGCAGTGGTTCTTAACGTGTAAACAGCGTGTTCCTCCTGTGTGGAGTCATGATTTATTTGATCTTAACTGTTTAACATTGACAGCTACTTTCTAACTTCATAAAGATACTAGAATTTGAATAGGAATACTTATAACGCTGGCTCCATGAAAGAGGGACTAGAGAGAAAAAAACTGCATTATTTGGTCCAGAAACGGAGTTTTGACTGCGAGGGCAGGAGGGAGAAAGCCTTCAATCAAACTAAAAACATGGCACCGTGAACAGCATGTAGAAATTAGAAAGTGTATTAGAGGTAATAATGAGAAGGTTTTTGATCAAAGTAACAGGAAAGTTGGTCTGGAAAAATTCCTAATGGGGTGTGTGTGTGTTCACTCTCAAACCTCAGAGTTGGGCTTATGGATAAAAAAAGAAAGTAACAAAATTTAGTACAAGTGCACAAATAAAAAAACCTTAATATTTAACAACATGCGTTCGAGAGTCTTCAAACTGGGGTTCATATTGTAGTGCTGCTGTGTAGTAACTGTAACCTCAGACCAAGTGCTTTACTCCAAGCCTGAGTCCCCGTACCTCCAGAGTGGGGGTGTGGCAGTGGTCCCTGCCTCATCAGACATTCACACACTGGTTTTAGCAACAGTGGGTAGTGCTTGTCTGAGTCAGTAATTTCCGTAAGATTATGAAGTTATGTTTTCCTGAATCTATCATTCTGTCCACGTTTACTAGCAGGTGTTCTTCTGTAAAATAAAGCCTTTCCCCGTAAAGGGGACATTCTGTGGCTTACTCTGAATTAGAGTTTCTCTTAGAGGGACAGGGTTCATACTTGGTTCTTGTAATTACTATTTTTAAAGTAGAGAATTGGTTTATAGCTGCCTCCAATGGTACCAAGTTAGTCTGTCCGTCTGTCCTTTCCTTCCTTCCTTCCTTCCTTCCTTCCTTCCTTCCTTCCTTCCTTCCTTCCTTCCTTCCTTCCCTCCCTCTCTCCCTCCCTCCCTCCCTCCCTCCCTCCCTCCCTCCCTCCCTCCCATCCATCATGTTGTGCTTATAGCTTTTCATCAGTTAATGCACATAATTTAGAAGTCAGAGAATTTTATGTCCAAGTGTATGAAGGGAAGCAACAACCCTTTGCCCTTCCTTTTCTACCGTGAGTCCTGCTGTCCAAGAGCAGATACCTTCACCTTTAAGTTCCATACCTTACTTACCATCTATTCCTAAATAATATGCCAAAACCGAAAGAGATTTTTTCCATGTTTTTTATAATCTGTTGACTTCTTATTGTGGAAAATAAAGATTAAATTCTCTTTCATTCTTTCCCCTCTTTCACATGTACATACACCATTCACACATTCTTTAGTCTGTCAACTTTTCATGAAATTAATATTCCGCATTAACATTATGACTATGTAAATATTGCTCACTGCTGATTAGAAAATAGATCAGCATTCTCTTTTCAGTTTTCCTCTAGGTATTAGTCAGTTTGATTATTTAATTATGTTCTGTGTACCAGCCGTTGATTTGATTCAAAGCTTTATGACTACCTGTAAGCTCCTCTCAGTAAAGCCAAACACTTGTGTTTATTTTTCAGCCCAGTTTTTCCTTCATAAGGTCCCTCCTGGAGTCTCCCCATCCTCTCTCTCTTTTCTGGGGTGCACTTCCTCTCCCTGCTGCTGGGTTACCATCCCAGGAAACCCGTTTTCTCTGTAATGGATTGGATTTTCTCACCCCAGAATTTTCTAGGTTTTATGCTTTTCTCCGATGCACTCCTTTATTTTTTGTGAATAAGTCTACCAGACATTTCTGAGAAGGGAGCAAAATCACTGAGCTCTTACTTCTACCTTCATACTTAATTGGCTCTTTGATTGGAAATAGAATTCTAAGTTCAAGATTCATTTTAGATTTTTGAAGGCATTGCTCCATTGTTTTCTGTTTTCATTTTTGCTTTTGGAATATCATGTGTTACTCTAATTATTGGTCCTTTGTACATTACTGATTTCTTCTCTGGAACCTTTATGATCTCATCTTTATTGCTGATGTTCTCTTAATTTCACAGCAATTTACCTTGGTGTTTGGTACGGTTTGGGTATTCTGTGGACTCTTTGAGTCTGGAAACTCATATCTTTCAGTTTTGGAAGATTTTTTTTTGTTTCATTTCTTTAATAATTTCCTTCCCTCTGTGTTCTCTGTTCTCTCTTTGAAGAAATCCTTTTGAATGTTATACCTCCTTGTATGTTCCTTTTCGTATCTATTAGGTCTTACTTTTCATCTTTTTATTTTTTGGAAGATTTCCTTTAGCTTTTAGCTGTGTAATGAACTTTTTGTTTTTGCCATCACATTTTTTCATTTGGCTACAGCAGTTATTATATAAGTGCTTTTTTCTGTTCTCTGAATATTCCTTTTTATATAACATTCTAGTGTTGTGTCGCTGAGAGTAGTAGTGATTATGGTGTTGGGAAGTTTTTGGTTTGTTTCAGAGTTTCCTTCTCTTCACTGTCTATTTTTTGAGCATTCGTCTCTCTCACCCCTTTTTGTTAGAAGTTTCCCTCCCTTCCTGGTGACCCCTGAGCGTCAGCCGTATTGAAGAGGGAGGAACTGAGAAGCTCACAGGAAGCTTCGTATGGAGCCACGGGCGTGGTTTTTGCTTGGTGGCTCTTGAAGTATGAGGCGAGCAGGAACCCTGCTGTTTTGTTGGGGAAGCTCCCCGGGTTCTCAGAATCTGTAGGTCTTTGGTTTGGGCCTGTTTGTTTTCTGGGAAGGACTCTCCAAGGGTGTGAGCGTGAACGTCTGCATTTGGAAGCCAACCTGGAGCAGAGATGTAGAGTTATCACATTTGACTATTACATTTTAACTAAATCACCTCTTTTCACCTGTGCCTGGGGTTCTGGCTGGAGTCCGGAGACTGCAGTTCTCATCTCCAGAGGGTAAACCCTCCTGCTGCTCTGGTGGGCAAGCGTCGTGGCCTTGCTGTGCTGGCTGAGGGAGAGCTTGTTACAGATTGGAGCGTTCTTGTGCGTGGTTTAACTCGGCCTTTTCTCTTTAGTCCCTCTTTACACCATGGCCTGGAGAAGTACTTAGGGCCTCTGGCTTGTGAACCTTTTCAGTAGTAATAACAGCAACAGCTAATGTGTGTATGCATGCTGCGTATATTAACTCATGGAATCCCGCGAAGTAAGTGCTGCTGGTACCCCCATTAAATAGGAAATTAAGGCATAAAGAGGCCAAGCACCTGCCACAGTGTCACGGCAGGAACACATTCAACTCAGATTTGAATTAAAGCAGTCAGTCTGTCTTTCAAGAAGACACCTTCAGAAACGTGCAGACCACCTTTCTTCACGTTGGTAAGTCCTTTCCTGCCAGCACTTAGGTTTCTCTGCATGGCTAAATCAGCTACTTCTAGCTCACTGGCTCTGCCTTCCAGAATTTTGATGGCGCTTAATCTGCTTCATGGTCTCTCCCATTCTTTTTGTCCCCATTTTCATATCTATGTGTGATTATATTGCTTCACTGTCATTTTGGGAACAGGCGTTAGTGTTCAACCCATAGTTTTGATAGAAGTTTCTCAATACTTTCTGTTAAATGCATTGTTTTGTTGATGTTTTTGTAACACCACCATGACTTCAGTATGCTCCCTTGTTCCCAGGTTGCCGGACGGGTGAAGCCAAGTTGACAAAAGGATTTCACTTAGCTGCCCGGTTCATCATTCACACAGTGGGGCCCAAGTACAAGAGCCGCTACCGCACCGCAGCAGAGAGTTCCCTGTACAGCTGCTACAGAAACGTCCTTCAGCTGGCAAAGTACGGCGTGCTCATCTCCGGGACGCAGCACGCCATACGCCATTTAAGGCCCTGGCTTTAAAATGAAACCTAGCTATGCAGGTCAAATTTTGAGGGATTTGGACAATTTTGGAGGACCCTGAAGATAGAGTTAATTCTCTTCTCAAACTTAGCAGAATAAAAGTAATGGCTTTGTGTGACTTGAGAATTTAACTTATTCCCATTTTACTCAGTCTTTATTTGGAATCTGTTTCCCCCAAATGGTGAAATTAAATTATATACTAATGTGATTATTAAATACTGCAGTTGAGTTAACTATCACAGTAGATTTGTTGAAGGGACAGGGAAGGAGAAGTTAAGCTGCATTTTCAGATTAGCTGTGTATTACGAGAGTTGGTAATTTCTGTTTTCTGTTTGGTTGCAGAGAGCAGTCCATGTCTTCCGTTGGGTTCTGTGTCATCAACTCTGCCAAACGAGGGTATCCTTTAGAGGACGCGACGCACATAGCACTTCGTAAGTGACGTCGGAGGCGCTGCACGAGTATTGGCGTAGCACCTCACACGGGGGTTGGGGTACTGTACGTAAACTGAGCCTTACGTTTGTTTTATCACTAGTGAAATAGTTACAGCTGAAGAAGATTTGTAACTGATCGTGGCCCCCTGGAGGGAAGCTGGTACTGACCAAGTGCAGAGCCCTCTGTGTGCTTTCTCGTGCTGACATTTTTATCCATTTGAGTAAAAGCTTGGAAGATTTCCCTACTAAATTTGAAAGTGATCCCAACCTAAGAAGTGTGGTTAATGCGTTGGGCATTTGAGTCATAATTCATAAGAATCTTAACCAGCTGCAACAGTGACATTGAAACAGATTTTATAGTGTCAGATTCACACAGCTCCTGGCAGTTTAAACCATTGCCCCGTTCACACGTGCTGTTTGAATATGTGAAACTCTGCCCACAGGTTTGAAAAAAGTCTGAGCTCAATCATTATCCGTGGGACTGTCAATGTGTAAATAACAATATCGTGTTCACCCTGAGGGCACCCACGATCTCACTGTAACGTGTGCAGGTGCATGTCACGTCTAGAGTTTTGTGTGCAGCTGTGCATTTCACACCCCATGAGACACTGGCGGGCTGGAAGCCGGTGGTCGGAAACACAGGTGGCGTCGCTCCTAGAGAAGAGCGTGCTCTACGCACCTGTGCAGCCGTCTGCAGGGCTTTCCTTGTGGGCTCAGCCTGCGCCGAGTTGTGAGAGCAGCAGTCCTTAGCCGCCTTGTGAGCATCGTAAACTCCATGGGGATCTGATGAAAGGAAGCTGGGGACCCTTTCCCCACAGGAATGTGCGTGCGTAGGGAACGTACACGCCGTTTCAGGAGGTTCTCAGACCCTCGTAAGGATTGTACACAAGGACCCCACAGTAGAAAGCAGGTGTAAGACCAAGCGATAAGGAAGGAGATTCGGTTCTGTGTGAGATAAGATGCTCTGTGATATGAAGGTATTTTACGTGAACTTCCTGTCACTGGAATGTTCTCACAAAGGCTGAGTGACCATCTGTTGCAGATATTCCTCATTTGGGAGAGAAACTACACTAGTTGATCTTTAAGACCCCCCCCTTTTTTTTAAAAATATTTTATTTATTTATCTTTAGAGGGGAAGGGAAGGAGAGAAACATCAATTTATGGTTGCCTCTTGTGTGTGCCTTGCTGGGAACTGGCCTGCAACCCAGGCATGTGCCCTGACTGGGAATTAAACTGCGATCCTTTTATTCACAGACCCGCACTCAGTCCACCGAGCTGCACCAGCCAGAGCTTTAAGACCCCTTTTTATCTCTAGAATTCAAAGATGAAGAGCTAAAAGTCTTAATATCCACCAAAAAATTACAGATATTTACATATATAAAATTATTATTATAAAACCTAGAATTTAGGTTGAGGGTATATTCAGTTCTAAATAGTCTTGTGTAATAATTAGCTATTTTTTTAACTAAGATCCTTCTTGCTCAAGGATTTTATAGTAAATTTGTATATTTTGTAGAGTATATTTATATGCATGCTATTGGACCGAGCCGAGATTTTATCATTTCATTTCGTGTTTACAATGCTTCAGTATGTCAAGAATGCTTTACATATGGTACTTACTCAAAACATAGGTATTTTTAAAGGGGGATAAAGGAATTACTTTCATTGCCTCAACAACCCTGTGTTTTAGGTAGCTTGGTATCCATTTTACAAATAAAAGAGACTCAGAACTTTACCGTGTTCTTGGGCTTATTCAGACTTGAAACGTTGTCCAGGCTTTCTCACTCAGCCTTGGTAACCTGTTCATTACACTCGAGTTCCAGCTGCTTCGGTGGGAGACGCCGTGCTGCGGCCAGCCTGCAGGGCTCTGCGGGGCCTCGCCAAGGCAGAGTTCCTGACGCTGTGTAACAGAGCGTCCTCCTGCGGGTCTCGACACCCTCTGATATCACTTACCCCTCGCCCTGACATCTCATAGTTTGAGCTAAGCCTTCCTATATGTTTCCATTTCTTATATAGTAATCGTGTGCTTAAGTAAAAAGACAGCATCATTTTATTTTTTTTAAAAAAAGCTTTGCAGTATAATCTACTATTTGTAATTGAGTTCTACTTTATACTTACTTAATAATTTGTAAAGTTTAGCCGTGGCTGGTGTGGTTCAGTGGACTGAGCGCCAGCCTGCAAATTTAAAGGTCGCCGGTTCAGTCCCAGTCAGGGCACATGCCTGGGTTGCAGGCCAGGTCCCCGTTTGGGATATGCAAGAGGCAACTAATCAGTGTTTCTCTCGCAGACCAATGCTTCTCTCTCTCTTTCTCTTTCTCCCTCCTTTTCCCACTCTCTAAAAAATAAAAATCAAATCTTAAAAATAATAATTTTTTTTAATTTAAGGTTAAAGGTTATTCTATAGCTGATTTTCATAGGCTATTATGGTGCTATTTTTCAAGGCAATGAGTATTTGCTCCCAGATAAAATTATCTGTCTTCTTTAGGCAGGGGTTAAAATTACTAGCAGTTTTCTCCATTACCTGAAAAATCAAATTGGAATATTTATCCGTCTCTAGATATGAAGACCTAAAAAACACATTGATATATTTTCCACTTTGAGTTGCATTTCGACCTGAGCATGGGACAACTAGAAAGTGAGACTTTCGGGGTTTTTATTGTCCCTGTTGGTTTGGTTTTCTGCTCTCCGTGGCTTTTACATTCACAAGCTTAGCTGGAATCTGTACAAATATAACTCTATTAGTCTAAGAGTATTGTATCCTAACAGAAAAATATAATTTAGCTACCTATTCTAAAAATGGTGAATAGTATTAATATTGTATAATAGGACTGGAAAGACCAACTCTTTTTTTGAAGACAGGGATTATGGCTTTTTATAACTGATTTTCATCAAATTTTAATGTTTCTGTCCAATTTTTAGGTACTTAATTTGTAAAATTGTTTTGTACTGGCATACACAAAGTAATGCCAGTACATTCTTTAAAATGTGTTGATTTTAAACTTTTTGAAGCCAGGTGATCAAATACATTTGTAATAAAATTTAATGGTCTATTAAAAATAATAAATGATGATAATAATAATAATAACTAAGAAGACTTTGAAAAGGGGAGTCAAGAAGTCAGGTTTTTGGACCCAGCTCTACCAGCCTGACCTAGGTCTGTGGCCCCAGATAAATGACTCGATAAAGTACCGTGGGCGTGTCTGCTTCAAGCAGTAACTGCAGCGACAGCAGATAAAGATCAACAGTAGCAATAGGGACTCTCATGAAGCAATTTCTAGGAATTTCACGCAAGAACTGTAAAGGCCTTATGTTCTATAAGGCCTGTGCAACTTATTACACCTTAAATATAGTAGCAAAAATATAATTAATCTCATCAAAACACACAGATAATTGGGCCCCTTGCTCGCATACTTTCTGAGCATTTGAGAAATAAATCGCTTGTACTCTCTTGTAGCAGACACGGGCCAAGAACAAACCTAATGACGTAGCTCCGAGTCCTTAGTACCACAACCTTTATTTCTTATTAAGCTCTTACGGAAATTCCTTTCATTTGAAACCTAAGTACAATAGCATCCTCTTGATAGATAAAGGAGACTATGTATCTTTTTATTCTCAGTGCATGTACAGTTCAGTTCTTCTCCAGAAGAAGCCTAAAGAAACATCTGCATTGAAGCAGACTTGTCAGGTTATTTATTCAGCGAACACAGCGGGGAATTGCCTGCTGGGTGCTAGGCCCGGCACCGTGCAGAAGAGGGCACAGTGGTGACGAACAGAGATGATGGCGTTTGCTCCTGTTGTGTTTCCAGGTTGGGAATGTTTATGGCCCAGGTGTCATTCTCTCCGGTTAAAGGGTTCTCTCTAAAGGTTAGGTGTGTGACATCCTAGGTGGTTGCGGAGGGCCGTAAACCTGGAAAGGGGAGGCCTGGTGTGGCAGGTGGGACTGCAGCCCTGCAGCCGTGACATCACTTGTTCTACCTCTTTATGCAGAGTTGCTTCCTGCGTGAACTCTGCTGAGGGAGTTCAGTTTAATTACTATTTGGCCTTGTGTTACATCCTCCAAAGGCTGTCCCACAGTTATGTGCTAGGAAGTTATGTGTTAATGTTAAAACTTGGAGTCAGAGTAAATAGAAGGAGATCCCCTTTCAAAAGTTTATTTAAATAATTTTTTAAATAGAGGAATACAGGGAGAAATGAAACAAGAATTTGTCACCTAACAGAGAGAGAAGTATGAATATTTGTTCAGTCCTTCAGCAAATGGGTCTGCTCCATTCGGTTCTCAAGATAACAGTGGTGAGCGAGGCAGATGCTATGTAGGTAATCAAGAGTCGTACGGTGTTAGTGCAGGTACCAGTTACCTTTCAGTGATTGCTTACTGAGCCCTGTAGTGTGCTAGGCTCTGGTAACGTTAGTGTAATATACATTCTTGTAGTGAATGTATAATGTCAAATGGCCTTGAACAAACTCACAGTCTAGCTAAGAAGTGCTGTGAGAAGTTCACAAATGGGGGGCTGCTCAAAGCGCTGCAGGAGGAGCAGAGAGGGGCGGAGCTCTACACCAGGGACGGGACCTCGACGGGGCCTCAAAAACTGAGGAGGCGTGCACTAAGAGAACACCGTGGCCGGTGAGGGGTGCTCTAGCGACAGATGACCCGTGCACACGGAGGTCGAGTAGCATAAAAGCAAGTGGCGTGCTAGGAGGGAGTGCGGCAAGGCCGATTTGGCCAAAGCGGATGGTACGTGGGGGGAAGTGGGGCCAAGGGGCAGGAGGGGAGAGGTGGTGAGTTGAGGTCACTGTGTGAAGACCCATCAGGGGGTTTAGTAGAGAGGATAACAGAAGAGAACTCAGTGACAATGAACATGTGGAGAAACAAGCAAACGGTTAAGAGCTTATTGCCAACGTCTTGGTAAGCCTTGAGGGCAGCTGGGAGAGAGAAAGCATAGATGGTAGAATAGACTTTAAAGGACATAAAATCCATTGAAAATGCAACTGAAGGAGGAGGTGGAAACAGTGCCCAAAAATTCAGAACTGTAGCGTGGGTGAGCAGATGGATATTTCTATGTAATCGGAGTAAGGAGGACAGGTAAAGGAGCAGGTTTGGACATGCTGGGTTTGAGGTTTCTGGGTTATGTGGGCATTGTGCTCAGTAGGTAGCAGGGAATTCAGGTTTTTTGTTCAGAAAACAATACACAGATTTGAGAGCCGTCAGCATTTGGGGCAGTACCTAATGAGCAAATCAGTGAGCTAAAGAGAATGTGTGTGTCAAAGAAATAAAAAGTGTGGAGGACAGAACCCTGGAGGACAGCATTTTTAAAAGGCGAGTCGTGGGCATTTCTTAGCAGTAAAGCTAGAGAGCTAGAGCTCCAGTAAGTGAAGGGCTGAGAAAAGACCAGCAGGGTCATTATTAGGGAGTTGGCCGTGAAGAATCTGGGCACCATAGAAATTAAGAAAAGTGTAATTCAGCTTCGGTTTGCTGGGGTTTTGGCAAGAGTGAAGGGCTGCGTAGGACGTCTGATAATGGAACCGAATGAGTGGAAAGACGCTTGTGCTGGGTCGTTCTGGTCAGAGAGCGGCCACAGGGGGTAAAAGGACAACGCTAGACAAGGGAAGACCAGAGTCGGCACCTTCTGTGGTCAGGTGCTGTTCTGGACACTGGCCGTGAGGCAGTAAATCAAACAAAGCTCTGGCTGTGGTGGGGCTTCCTTTCCAGTGGTTTGGGGGGGTGGGGAGCACGTGCCCTCAACAAGAATCCCCACAGAACGGCTACAGCGGTCGCTCCAAAGGAGCGCAAATCGGAAAGGCTTTCTGACCTGGGAAGTCCGGGCAGGCTTCTCCCACAAGGTGTCACTGGGCAGAGACCTGAATTAGATGAGAAGTGACCACTGCAAAAACAAAACTTAGAAGGGTTTGACTTTTCTTCATATGTAAGTACCTTTTTTTATTGAACAACCTTTCTCTTTTTTTTTTTTTTCTTAGGCACTGTAAGGCGATTCCTAGAGATTCATGGGGAGACTATTGAAAAAGTAGTGTTTGCTGTCTCTGAACTGGAAGAGGTATTTTGCTAGTTATGTTTCATTGTTTAAATCATACAGAACAATATTTGTCATGAATTAGAGATGCAAGGTCTTTAACACAATGTTAGCAAACTGAATCCAGCAACATATAAAGGGCTTCTATACCATCACCAAGTGGGATTTAGATCAGGAATATAAGGTTGGGTCAATGTACAAAAGATCAATGTAATATACTATAGTAATATAATAATAATAGGAAAAAAGGATAAAACCACGTGATCATCTCTGTAGATGCAGAAAAAACGTTGGACAAAATCTAATGCCCTTTCATGAAAAGAATGTTCAGCAAACTAGGAATAGAAGGGAACTCCCTTAACCTGACGGAGGGCACCAGTGAAAGGCCCACAGCTGACCCACAGCATTTCACCACCCAGCAGGGAAATGCTGAAAGCTCTCTACCCAACAGCAGGAAGACACCAGAGTGTCCGTGTCACCCACTCTCTTCAGCATTGTGCTGCTTCTGCCCAGGGTGTGTGGGCAACAGGAAGACATAAAAAGCAGCCAGGTTGGGAAGAAAGAAAACTAATTCTGTTTGCAGATGACATGACCTTGTATGTAAAAATCCTAATTAAGTCTTCAAAAATACTATGAGAATAGCATTGAGAAGTGTTATAGGATACAAAATCAACACAGAGGTCAGTGGTGTTTCCTGTACTAATAAACTTCCCAAGCTTTTGTGGGTCCACCCCCCAGCCAGGGTGAGGCCAACAGACCTCTAAGGTCACGCACCTCAGCAGCTCCCCGTGTGCCATTTTGACTTCTGTTGCTCATGTGCTTCCCCGAGACCTCCCAGCAACTCGGTACCTCAGCAGGGAAGAGAGGGGTGTTGATCCTCGGCAGGGCAGTGCTCTGGTCCCCTGCCTGCCTGCCTCTGCCTTCCTGGGGACGCAAACCAGCTTGTGCTCCCCGGTGCGGTAGGCTCAACGATGGCCGACTCCCTCTGCTTCCTTCCTTACTATTAATTAGCTAACTGTCTAGAGTAACAGTTCTACAGATTCAACAAAATCTCTATCAAAATCCCTACTGACTTTCTGTAGAAATTAACAAATTGATCCTAAATTTCACATGGTTGTGCAAGGGACCCAGAATAGTAAAAAAAAAAAAAAAAAAAAAACCTTGGAGAGAGGAGAAGTTCAAGAATTCAGGCTTAACCTGCTGGGAAACTTACTCAGAGTCCTGTAATCCGGACCGTGTGGCAGTGGCGTGAGAGAAGCGTGGAACCGTGGGATGGGATGTTAGACAAGACTGGCAGGACAGTTCGGTGCGGAAACAGTGGCCTTATCAACAGTGGCGCTGGGGCAGTTGGATTTCTGCCTGCAGAACAGAAGGTGGACCACTGCCTCCCGTGATACACAGACATTAACTACTGGGCATAGGACTTACGCACAAAAGCTGAAACAATGAAACGTAGGAGAAAACAGGCATAAACATGGGTATAAATCTTCATGACTTTGGGTTAAGTAATGGCTTCTTACACATGACATCAAAAGCGCAAGCAGCCAAAATAAACATAAATCAGTTGGTCACTCGTAATTCACAACAAGAAGATACCCCAATTTTTAAATGGGCAAAAGCTGTTATTTATGCAAAGGAGTTGAAAATTTATGCCCTCACAGAAAATTGCGGAGTGTGTTTATAACAACTTTGCTCATGTTTGCCAAAGCTTGGAAGAAAGCAGAATGTCCCTCAGTGGGTGAGCGGTAAATAAAACGTGCACATCCGCACCATATAGTTTGGTGCTAAAAACAATTGTATTGGGCCATAAAAAGATAAGGCAGAAACTTAGATGTGCATTACTGAGTGAAAGAAGCCGATCCAAAAAGGCTACATGCCAGGATTCCAACTGTATGACATTCCTGGGAAAGGCCAAACTGAAGACATTGAAGGCACAAGGGGTTGGGGGTTCAGGAGAGGCGGGTGGGCAGAGCACAGAGGATTTCAGGGTGGTGAGAATACTCCGGATGGCACTATAAGGGTGGATGCAGGTCATTGCACCTTTGTGCAAACCTGTGGAACGCACACCTCCAAGGATGAATGTCATTAAACTGCGGTGATCAGACGTGGCACTGCAGGTTCATCACTTACAACAGACGTCCCACTCTGGTGGATGTGTTCAGATGGGGATACTGGAAATCTCTGTACCTTCTCAGTTGTTTTGAACCTTAAAGTGCTCTAAAAAAAGTCTGAAAAAAATGGTCAGAGATGACCAGTAAGTTCATGAAAAGATGCTCCACAACATGAACGATTAGGAAAATGCAAATCAAAATAAACTTCACATCCGTTAGTGTGGCTATAATTACACAGTAACAAGTGCTGGTGAGGATGTGGAGAAACGAGAACCTTCATACCTACCTGGTGGTCACGTGAAGTCGCGCAGCTGCTTTGGAAAACAGCCGGGCAGTTCCTCAAAAAGTTGAACAGAGTTTCCACTCTCAGCTATATCCACACAAACACTCGTGCTTGAAGGACAGGAGTGAGCAAAAGTAGGTTTACAGTTGTTCGTGTGGAAAACAATACAATAATTAGCCCTGGCTGGCATGGCTCGGTGAATTGAGCACGGGACTGGGAAGCAAAGGGTCACCAGTTCGATTCCCAGTCAGGGCACATGCCTGGGTTGTGAGCCAGGTCAGGCCCCCAGTAGGGGGCCCACACATTCATGTTTCTCTCCCTCCCTTCCCCTCTGTCTAAAAATAAATAAATAAATCTTTAAAAACAATAAACTTAAAAGACATTTTAGGATGATGAAAAGGGAATGGGAAAAATAAGAGCACCAAATGCCTGTAATGTGTCATTGGTTCGTGAATGAGTCCAGTGAGCCAACTCACGGGGAAGTTATAAGATGGAATGAGTTTCGCTCTAATTTGTTTTATGAACAAAAAAATTTACCTTTGTTCTTTGGGAAACCTCAAAAGAAGAGTAAAAGTCTTGGAATACCAATTCTTTACAAAGAGAAGCATTAAAAAGAAATCCTCAAAAACTAAACTGGGTCAACATACCCTGGTGGCGCAGTGAGGATTGAGGAGGAAGCGTCTGAGCCGAATCCTGGGAGACAGTTGTCCTTAGTCAGGTGGAGGGTGGGGAAGGGGACGGGAGCGGCAGAACCCAGGCCAGGCTCGGTTTCCTGGATTGCCAGAACAGGAGTTGAGAGGCTGAGGATGTCCTGGTCTGTAACGCAGCTGATGGAGGGTCCCAGACAAGGTCGGTCACAGCCTGGAAGAGGGAAGGCCTTCCTCCCTGACGGAGGCCGTCTTCACAGTGTTGGGACAGCCCTGAGCCCCGCGGGCGCCTGCTTACTTTGTGGTTTATCACAGTACGTCTTGCTTTTCTGACACAGGCTACTTACCAAAAGCTGCTACCTCTGTACTTCCCAAGGTCGTTGAAGGAGGAGAGGCGATCACTGCTGTACCTACCTGCAGATATTGGGAACGCAGAAGGGGAGCCCGTGGTGCCCGAACGGCAGATTCGGATAAGTGAGAAACCCGGCGCCCCGGAGGGTGAGTTCTGCTTTCCTTAAATCGCCCTCTGAACACACGGAAGGGACCGATCACCGCGGAAGTGGGGGGTGCAGCTGGACCGCGGGGACACTGTTGCTAGTGTGACACCAGGATGAAGACCAGCTTCGATGTCTCTAGAGTCTCGCGTTAAGATTTACTCTTTAAATTAAAAAGTGAATAAATGCACCCACACGTAGAATGTCGGGTCTGTGTTAGGCAATAGAAGTTCAGAGGTGGCTGGCTGTACCAACATTGTTACCCTCATGAAGTTTATAGTTTCATTCAGAACACTGTTGAGACAGTGGTCACCCATATCAGCGTCTAAAATTTTCAACAGTGTCCTCTGAAGCCACACCTGACATTGAATTCTAAGACAGGAACACTGTAACTGTTCATTTTGCTTCTTTAGGTTCCATACTCACATAGATGGGAACATTGGTAGAGCCCATAGGACGGAAGGCCTTCTGACCCTGTCCTGTGTGGCAGCGTGTGCTGACCTTCCAGGGTGTATGTTTGGGGTTATAAGTCACTTCTGCGGAGACAGCCTTCCAGGCTTCAGTGCTGGAAGTCGATCTCAAAATTCGTCAGCTTAGGAATCACATAGTGATGAGCATCAGGTTCAAATCTCTAGAAGGCTCCTCATCTCTTGATGACCAGTACGCAGACCTCAGTCAGACAGGGAATGCTGAGCGGTGTGGCATCAGGTGATGCCTCAGAACCGGGCTTTGCTGGAGGGGCCCCCGAGTTCTCCAGGGACCCTCCAGTAGAGCACACCCTTGGGTTGCGCCTGCGTTGTTTGCAAGTCCTCGTGATTGTGATCGCCACTGTAGGACATCATTTTTCCTAAGTACGTAAAGTGTATTTTGCATAGTGAGGAGTAATGGATAGCAAAACTGATACTAGATGGCATCGCTGGGCAGTGGATGAGACTGGCTCCTTAGCCAAAGGTTCCTGCCTGTCCACCATTCTCAAAGAGTGATTTATTTGCCTCCGAATCTCTGGAAATATTGTCACTTCGTAGATATAAGTCCTAGTGTTCCTAAATATTTTCCGATGGAATGGTAACTCTGTTAGAAATAGATGTCAGATCAGCTTTACTTGAGGGATTGAAGGAAGATTCGTGGATGTTTTTTAATAAAAGCAGACTCTTCTAAGCCGTGGGCGGTCACAGCCTGGAGCACTGAAGCAGGTGTGAGGCCGTTCCAGCTGCATGGCCGCCAGGCTGAGCTTTCAGGTGGGGGCTCCCTCTGGTCCCGGGGGTCTTGTTTGTTTTTCTTTTAAAAAATTATTTGAACAGATCTGGTGAGGCAGTGGGAACACACTAAGTGAGGCATGATCCATGAGTGATCATAGGGATGAATCAGAAAGTGAACTTCCTCGCAGTGAGAACCATCCTTGTTACAGACCGGAAGGGAGGCGTGGCCCGTGTAGCAAACCAGGATGTCGCATCAGAACTCCCACATTCCTTCCTTAGTGATTGGGGTGCTGCCCTGCGGTCCTCTCCATCCTGCTGTCCTCGTCAGTTACCTGATTTGGGGGCTGAAGTTTATGTACCGACCAGTCCGGTGCTCCCGCCTTGGACAGTTCTGGATAAGTGACCCCAGACGTTTGTCGGTTTGCTTCATTATTTCTGTTCTTCGGGTCCCTAAATCCGATCTCACGTTGGTTCTCGAAATACCCCCTCAGTCCCATTTTTGGGTTGGCTCACAGTCATCCCTGCTGTGCATCATTCACACCCTGTTCGTGCCGTTTGCCGCCAAGTGTTGTCCTCGGCTCTCGCTGTACTGATGGTGTTTCTGTTGCAGACGACCAAGAAGAGGAGGATGAAGGCTTGGGAGTTGATCTCTCTTTCATTGGCTCTCATGCTTTTGCTCGGATGGAAGGAGATATTGATAAGCAGAGAAGACTGATCCTTCAGGGACAGCTGTCAGAGGCAGCCCTGCAGAAGCAGCATCAGAGAAAGTAAGGCAAACCCCTGTGGCCCCAAAGGCACAGAAGAGGAAAGTGCCTTCCATCTGCTGAACGGTCTGTTCATAGCGTGTTCCCGTTTATTCCTTGTGACCGTCCAGCGAGGTCGAAAACTGTCCCCGTTTTGCAGATGTGGAAATTCAGAGTTAATTTATCGGTGGTCACAGTGAATTGTGCTGAAGCCGGTGTTCTGTCTGATGTTTTCTGATTTCAGAGCCGCCGCTCCTTCCACCAGCTGCGGTGTCTCTGGGTCAGGTTCTGGTGCAAAGCTAGAAACTGGGAAAGGCAGACTTAAAGGTTTTCACCTAACTTTACTGTGTTCATAATTAAAACATGATCTACAGTTTAATTAAATTTAAAAGAGCTTTATTTCTCCTCAGTCTATCCTAAGGACCTTACAGAGCCATTCCATTTCTTTCCAGTGTTTTCTAAAGCAAGTCTGAGTAAATCCGTTTTGAAACATCAACAAAAGCAGCTTTTGTACTTATGAGTAAGCTTTTTCCCAAGAATCCATGGTTCTTGGAAAGCTAGCTGCTTTACCAAAAAAAAACCTTAAAGGAAAGAAAAGATCATGAACTAGACATGGCCAGCCAGTACCTCACTGGGTTGGTTGAGGGACCACCTCACACGCGGTCGTGAACATCAGGTGAGATACTGTCTCAAGCTCACTAGCATGGCACCTGGTACTTGGCAGGCTCTTCAGATTGGTCACTGCCATTCTCTTCAATGCTGAGCAAATCGTGTTCTCTTTTACCTTTGAGTTTTGCTGCTCGGCATCTTTGGGCTGGAATCCTCTCATCCTTCAATTCCTGTGCATTGATTGTCCAGTTTCAGCTCACAGGGAACAGCTTCTAGAAACTTGCCACGCTGGAGACAAGTTGGAATGGTTGGAATAAAAGTCTGGAGTAGATGCTTCCCTCTCTGTTTTTCAGACTACACTTAAGTAAAGCCCAGCACTTACCCACTGTAGTTAGGGGCATGAGATTGTTGTCGGTCTCCGTCCGCACAGTGGGAGTTGGACTAGGTGATCTCTGGAATCCCTTGGAGTTAGAATTTCTTGTCTCCTGAATTCGTTCTCTTCACTTTATGATTTAATTTGTATAAACAAAAGTAAAGTAGCCACTAGGGGGCACCAGTAAACAGCTTTTCCAAAGGCAATTACACTCTCAAATGTAGTTTCAGTGATTCCTGAACTTGGCCATGTGTAACAATCATCTGACAAACATTGTTCTTTAAACACAGTGACTGGGGCCCTGGCTGGTGTGGTGCAGTTGGTTGGAGCATCGTCCGATAACCGAAAGTTTGCGGGTTCGATGCCCAGTCAGGGCTCACAGCGAGGTTGTGGGTTTGAGCTCCGGTTGGGCTTGTGATCCCTGGTCTGGGCACATACGGGCGGCAACCAATCGATGTTTCTCTCTCATCGATGTTTCTCTCTCTCCCTTCCTCTCTCTCTCTAAAAGCAATGAAAAAAATGTCCTTGAGGGGGAAACAAATTAAATACAGTGATTGGGCCATCCCTCACGCTACTGGGACTGTGACATCTACACATATTTTAAAGCTTTTTCGCATTGCGGCTCGTGCTTTGCTAGATGTGGGTGCCCCTTTTGGTCCAGGACAGTGGGTCTCAGACTGCTCGGTCCCAGGGCCGCAGAGAGCTTTTGTTTACCTGGATTATTTACACCTACCAGTATGTACCACGTGAGAGGTTCTTCATCAGTTCCCTGAAAAATAACCTATCGTGTTTATATGAACATAACTTTGCTTAAACTAGGGAGAAGACTGGCACTGTTTTACGTTATTTGCAAATTTTGCAATATTTGGCTTAGTAGAAGACAGCTGGATTCTCATATGCCATTCAAACTATGGCAGCAAGTTCCTTTGGGTGAAGTATGTGAAGAAAATCGCCTTCAGATACATAATTGGCAAGGGGAAGAGTATTTCAGTAGCCTTTTCCAATAATTGGGGATATTATTCTTTGATATTCCATTATAGCTTGATAAATAGTTTCTTAAAGTTTAGTTGCAATGTGTAATCATAAATCATATCCATGAATTTTTGTAGTTTGTTATATTAAAATGTGTTGTTCAGTCCTGCACTTTGAATGGATTTTCTATTAGGAATTTAGAGCATGAGTTTGTAACATGATTCATTGGTCTTTTGAAAAATAGTGATTCACTAAATTAATCATCTTCCAAATATTAACACCTTTTACTGCACAATAGCAAAGATTATGTTTGTTAATATCACCACTGATATTATCAGAAAAGTCCTTTAAGTATCAGGTACTGTAAGCTTCTGAGGATAGAGACAGATTTTCCAAAATTATATGTTTTTTTAAAGCTCAAGTTTTACCATTGTTAATAAATGCTGTTAGGTTTTTGTTCTTGAGGTGTCAGGGTTGGTTTATTCATTTTTGACAAATCATCTGCCAGCTGCTCATGTAGAAGCACCACACTTTGTCTGCCAGTCATTATTTCAAGAAGATCGATGATTCATGAAAAAAAAGCAACTAGTTCAGCTTGCAAGTCGGCCGCACAGAGCTTTGCTTCCAGACGACCTCACACTTCAGGAAGCAGAAGTGCTTCGTGTGTTTTCCCATTTTGTGACACATTAATATCAAACAGATGTGTTCCCAAGGGTTGATTTAATAAAATTAATAATTCTTACCCCCTCATCAAAGACATTCTCAAAAGAAACTGGCTTTTTTGTTCTGCGCCTCTTTTGGCAGCGAAGGGCCCCGTGACTGCCCGCCCGACGGGGCCTCCGCCCCGACTCCTGTGAAGCACCCGTGGCAGCCGCAGCCGCACCGGCAGTGCAGACATCCACACAGTGGAGAAGGCAAGGGCGTTCCAGCGCCCTCCTGAAAACAGGTTCCACCTCGCAACCCCCTGGAAGGGGCTCAGGACCGCGGACCCCACTTTGAGAAACACCGGGATGTGGTCTCTCCACTACTTCAGTGCCGAAAGGCATCCTGGGAATCATCTGGAGCCGGTCTCCCAAGGGGGGCGCGGCCTCTGAGCATCGGAGCCGCTGGGTGCTTGCTGAAGATGCTTGGGCCCGGCACCAGACTCCTGAACTAGAACCTCGGTGGGAGGGCCTCAGGAGTCTTCCTTCCAAAGTTTCTTAGGTGATTCTTTGGTGTCCTGAATCACTGGTCTAGTTTGAGGTTCTTCCTTCAAGGGCCCGTCGAGCCCCAGGAGTGGGCATCCGTTGCTGCCCAGAGTTCGAGCTTCACTGAGGAAGAGCCTCCCAGTGGCGCCTGCAGGAGTCTCGCTTTCCCCGCCGCCTCTTCAGCCCACTGCCCTGACCAGCTGTGGAGACGCCGGGAAAGGACCAGAAGTCCTTGTTTTCAAGAGCCCGGTTGTTACCACCTTTCTAAAATCAGTCTGACCTCTCCCCCTCCTTCTCCCACAAACACACACACCCCACGTAACTTTTTCATTTTTCCACGAGTGGTACAGGAATTTTTTAACTTTGTGTTTGAACTGGGTACTTGTCTGTCTGCATCTCTCTTTTTAATGAAGAGATTCATTTCGCTTAATAATTATAAGTTCAAGCAAGGGTTAAAAGGAATCCGTATTCATTGCGTTCATGCTTGCTGGAAGGGAGTCCTCTGCAAAGGGGTAGGTTCTAGGAAGGCACAGGAAAACAGCATCTGTAAACATCGTCCCTCCCGGCCTAGGGTCTTGGAGTTGGGGTTTCAGTCTGTTACACAGTCGACGGTTTCCATTCGCTTCAGGAAGCACTGGAGACTTACTTACTCTGTACAGGGTAATATTCTAATCCTGAAATACGCAGAGATGAATAAGGTAGTCCCCATCTTCTGGAAATGCATGAGTGGCCACACCAGGGACAGGTGTCACGCGTGTACTCTGAGCAGCGATCAGGCTGGCGTGCGCATCCAGTCAGCACGCGTTCCCAGGCCCGGGGACGGGCCGGCCCGTCTCCCAAAGCCCGAGCCAAGAAACGGCAGCCACGTGCCCCCGCCACGCAGGTCTCTTGCATGATGAGCAACTTCTGGACGAAACGACTTTCAGGTTTCCCAGTTACGTGCCCAGTGTCCGCGACGGTCTCCGTGTCGCAGCGAACTTCACAGTGGTAACAGCAGCTCGGAAGTGTGAGCCACGGAGTCGGACCCTGTCGGGGAGGCCGGGAGACCACAGCTGTTCTTTAATGTCACCAGGCACTATTGGCCCTTTTCATTGTCATTCCCGCAGTGTTCAGTGCAGGCTTCCAGAGGATGCTCCACACGTGAGGTCGCAGCAGGTCGCACGCAGACGCACATGCCAAAGTATAAACGGGCACCTCCTCTCCGCAGAGTTCCGCGTGAACTTATGTTTGCTTAATAAGTTTTTATCGTTTTAAAATTAATCATAGTTATTTTTAAAATTTGTCTTTATTTCTAACGTGGTAAATATTGGTGGCTATAACTGACATAAACGTAAAAGGGTCCAGAGACCGAAAAGGTTGAGAATGAATGACTAATTCTTTGGTGGTTTGTGATACAACTGAGCTGTAAGCTGTGTCTGTGCTCACTCTGCCACGAGGTAAATGTTTTAAGGTTGCAGGTTGGAGTTGCTACCATTCATTTCCCTTAGTCTCTTTCAGTCAGGCTTTGATTCACATAAAACAGTCTGATTTCTGTTGATTATGTTAGTTGCTCAGCTCGAGCCAGCGATACATTTGTGTCTGAGGAGCAAGTAGGTCCTCAGTTGGGGATGTCATTTTGAAAGCCTTCATTCAGTTCTTCATCAGAACAAAACAAGTTCACGTGCATCGGCTACGTTAGATCATTCCTTTCATAGCATTGCCTTGCAACATCAGTGTCTTTGTGAAATAATTATTTTTGACATCAGAAAATAAGTAGACATACTATTTAATTACTTATTAATATTTCCAGGTCTTTTGTTCAGTTGTGACACTAACTCGGGTGTATCACAAGGTAGAAGTTAGCTTACTTACAAAAATTAGGAAGCAGTCTATTTTTTTTCAAAAGATGCAGCTTTTAAAACTCTTAAATTATTTTACAGTAACTTTTTTCAAGTGTTACTTGGTTGGCATAAGATCCAGTTACCTACCACTCCTCTGTCCTTTCTCACAGTAAAAACTTTATCTCACTCATTTCTATATATTTACTGAGCTTTTACTAACACGCTAAGTGCTACACTAGACGTGTAGTAAAGCAGGATGCAAGACAGGCACAGCCCCAGCCCTCACGGAGCTGAGGGTGTCGCAGAGGGGAAATGTCAAACTAATCGTTGGGTGAATAATGTATCTAAGTCACAGGGTGCGATTAGGATATTCGACAAGAGTTTTAACCAAGTCCAGTATGGGACAGTTAGTTGCATGAGGTCAGAAAAAGCTAATTAATTTCAAAGCCAAAATTTTCCCTGGGCTATTGGTTATACACAGATGGGTTAGTTACTGCTCTTCTAGGAGTAATTTAGCTTAAATTTTCTTCATCATTCAACTGTTGATTGTGCAGTTAGATGTTAGCTGATTAACAGGAAGAAATTGCCTTATGTTAGCTTTGTGAGGACAGCATCCAACCTTAATTGATTGTAATATATTAAGAAACTATCTCCTGCGTGGGCTGGGATGGGAGAAATAGACAGAAAACTGTACTTGAAAAATAATTAAGTAAAAAAAAAGAAAAAAAGAAACTATCTCCTCAGGTGAGTGGAGACAAACTATCTACTCAGTATTTCTTTTTTTTTTGTAAGATTTTATTTATTTATTTTTAGAGAGAAGGTAAGGGACAGAGAGGGAGAGAAACATCAGTGTGTGGTTGCCTCTCGCACGCCCCCTACTGGGGGGGTCTGGCCTGGCTCACAACCCAGGCATGTGCCATGACTAGGAATTGAACTGGCAACCCCTTAGTATACAGGGCAGCACTCAGTCCACTGAGCCACACCAGCGAGGGCAAGGACTTTAAATTTTAAAAATTAAAACCCACAGAGGAAATTATAGGTTTCTATCTTTCATATCTTGGAGAAAAGACAGGTTTTTTTTTAAACAAGCTCTAAAAAGCATTGACTAAAAAAGAAAAAAACTAGTTTTGACTACATTAAAAGTAAGAATGTCAGAAAGTGGAGCAATGAAGGTTAAAGAACGTGAAAAACAAGTTGCACAATTTGAGTAATTTATGATATACACAGCTGGAAAGTGATTAGTATCAAGAATACATCAAGAATGCTTATGAATACGTGAGAAAAGAAGAAATAGCCTAGTAGAGAAATGGACAAACGATAGGAACAGATCCCACAGAAGAGGAAGCCAGTGAATGTGGATGGGATCCCCACACCCCCAGTGACCGAGGAAGTGCTGTGCTTTTCAGACTGAACCGATTGGCCGTCATCTGCAAACACCAAGTGCTGAGGACGTACATTCACAGGGTCTCCTACTCTTTGCTCGCAGAAGTATAAATCGGTACAGTACTTTGGGAAAGAGATTCGGTCTTATCTCTTCAAACTGAACACACCACAGAACCCACCGTCTCCACCCCTGCGTGTCTGCCCGAGAGAAGCCACGCACAGGTGCACCAGCAGACGTGAGATAAGCCGGTGTCAGCACTGTTCTCAGGCATCACATTTATGCTGTAAATGTCTGAAAAGTGAGCTAATGAATACATAGAGTGTAGAAATTAATAGATATTTACCACATTCCTGTTCCACATTTTGTGCTAGAACTAGTGGTGCTCATAGGACATTTAAGATATATTATTCTGTTTAGTCCTGTGGTGGGATGACCTAATCATAAAACAACTGGAAGACAGTGTAGTTGAGGATTTAGTGTAAGTAACCCAGGAAGTGACTCTGTGGAAGTAGAAATAAGGAATAGTGCTTGTGCGTAGGAAGTACTACATTGCCCATGGCTCTTGACTTGCAAATTGCATCTGAAACCAGAATTTAAAGCTATTGTCATTGACTTTTCAACGGGCATAACTCGGTAAGCTTCCACATGTAAAAAGGCAGACTAGAACTACGCTGTCCGTACCAGGTGTATGTTTCACAAGCAATAACAGTTTCTGTGAAACCGGTGGGCATATCACTTGTTGATCACAATCCATGTGTAATAGACTTACTATTAAATATCCTTAGTTGAGTGACTGTGCTATATAACCAAAAGGTGTCCTGCATAAACACTATTTTGCAGGAAACCAAGGTGCACAGAGGTGAAGTGATTTTGCACTAAGGTTGCACAGAAAGTGATAGGATTAGAACCCAAGTCACCCCTCACCTGGTTTTGGGTTTTTTATGTTAGGAGATGTTGCTGTATGTGCCCCAGATGCTTCAAGGTTGCTTTTCATACATTAGGTACCTTGGAAGCTTTTTTTCACAGTCAGATAAGATGCACTTTGGATTTTAAGAACACAGTGTGAAATAGAAACAGTACTGAACCTCCCAGAAATTCAGAGGCCTGAGCGCTACTTGGAATTCAGCCCCACCGTTGATTGGCTGGTGACTCGAAGGTTAACTTGACCTTTTCGAGGCCATCCCCCCCTGCCGAGATCTATTGCATCTCTTCCAGCGTTAATATCCTCTCAGCCAAAGACAAACTTTGTCCCTCTGCGATCTGGTATAGGGGGTATATAAGCACCACTAGTTGGGTTAGCCCATCATCAAAGCAGCCTAGAATCACAGGAAAAGTCACCTAGTCCTTTGTGTTCCCACGTGACCTGTACATGATCTTCCGAAAAGTAAACTGGAAGCCACCGGCTGTGTCTTGCCACTATAATACTCTCCATACCTATCATGCAATAAATAAATCTTTGTTGAACAAGCAAACATCTGTTTTATAGAACTGCTATTGCTTTAGGCTTTCTCTTTGCATGTTTTTAGCAAAGGAAAGTAACAGTATTTAAAAACAGTGTCAGTTTGAGAACTTGGTATCTGAGGCATTTATGTGAGTCTTTATTTGATCATAAAGGATTTCCTAACTGCATAGGAACATCTTCTCTCAGTAATTCATTTGTGTTTATTTTATCGATAGTGCATGGTAGAGACTCTGCACGGTAGAGAGCAACTCCTTGCTTATTGTAATAAAGCATTATTCTTCAGGAACAGGGAAAGAGAAAAACAGGCCCAAACTGTTCAATTTAATTTGCAAGCGTTTGTTATAATAATTGTGTTTTCCTTCTCTAGTTACAATCGCTGGTTATGTCAAGCAAGGTCTGAGGACCTGTCTGATATCGCGTCCCTGAAAGCCCTGTACCAAACAGGTGAGCTCAAGGGCACAGTAACCTGCTCTTTTACTAAGTACCCTACCTGTCACGCCAGGAGAGACTTCCTTTCTCTCAGATTCTGTCCATTTTACCTTTTAGTCAAGTGTTTTTGTACTAAAGAAGATAGAACTTTATATAATTTTCAACTGGTCATTCTACATTGGCCAACTTCATTTCATCTTAATGTTCTTTTTCTTATCTTTAATTTTTTTCTGCCTTAAAAAGTGCCATATACTTGCTACACAAAAGTGGAATACTACATAAATGTGTAATGGAGACAGTGGAAGCCCTCAGACTCCCGGAGTTTCTACAGTACATTTTTCCAGACAAGAATTATTAATTTTCACTTTTGAGTTCCATTTAATATTTCCTAGATCACCCATGTTACTAAAAGTTGTAGTAAGTTTAACAAAAAGCTGTTTATAAAAAGACCTTTGCCTCGCAGCCTGACCCAAGACTCTCCCTGACTCAGCGCAGGGAGAGGCGTTGTCCCAACAGGGCGGCTGTCAGGACCCCCAGGGGGAAGGAGTTCCGTGGAGGAAGCGGTGTTTGTTCTCCACGCAGTGAAGGAATGAAACGTGCAAAACTCGTGTTTCCGTTTGTCTCCTACACGCGTGTGGGCTGTTTGTGTGGGGTTAGTGCCCAGGACAGATCATCTGTTGCAGTGAAGAGGGTACTGACTGCATCTCTCGCTCACAGGTGTTGACAACTGCGGGCGCACGGTGATGGTGGTCGTTGGGAGAAACATCCCGGTGACGCTGATAGACATGGACAAGGTGAGCTGCGAAGGGCTCGGTCGAACAGGTGACGTCGGTCTAAAGGGAAGGGCTGCGTTTTGCTCTGTGATGCGCTCCCGTGTGTACACTGCGCACCCACAGTTTTCGCCCACACTTCAGGGAGAAAATCTTTCATTTTAATTATTTAATTCAATGTATTTACTATATTTAGATACTTGTTTTTTGTATTATAAAAGGAATTTTGGTGTTCGTTTTTGAACATATGTGGTACGAGAAATTTTATGTAACAAATAATTATAAAACACAAGAATAGATACCAGGTGTTTTAGGTGTTACTCGCATATAATGTGCATCCTTATTTTTCCCTCAAAAATTTGAGGGAGAAAAGTGCGCATTGTACACGGCAAAATACGGTGAGCGAATGTGGAACCAGGGTGGCGTGTGAGGTGGTTGTGCGTTCCTGGCAGAGGAGCAGCCCGGGGCCTGCAGATCTGCCTGCGTCGCTTCGGCGAGTTAGGGCTTTGGTTTTGCTCCCTGGGAGAAACGAAAAAGCTGGGATGCCGTGGCGCAGTCTCCAGAAATGCACGTGCCTGGTTTTGGAGACTGGCAAATTTTTGCCCGGAATCAGTCTGCATTATCCTTGTGCTGAGAATCCAAGTCTGCCTTTCTCAAAAAAGAAAGAAAGAAAAGGGACGGAGGGAAGGAGGAAGGGAGGGAGGAAGGAAAGAAGGGATATGTCTGAGGAAACCAGAGATATGGTTAACCCAAGCTGTCATGATTCCGTAATCCCTTCATTTGGGGGGACAAAAATAAATGGTTTATAAAAGAAGAAATGGTGTTCCTGGTAAACAAAAATTTAAAAAGTTTCAACCTGATGAGTAATCCAGAAAAAGTGAATTAAAATAAGATACCTTTTTTCACCTTCAGAATTAGCCAGAACTTTTAAATGACTGTGATCAGAGATACGTTGACAGTAACAGTGGTCTCCCCAGTGACCCAGCGCGTTCCCGGGACTCTGTGCTCAGGAAGTAATCCAAAGTGCGGAGGTAGCTGTCGGCCCTGAACCTGCCCACATGGGGATCCTCAGGCAGGGGACAGTTGGACTCACAGGATAAATACGAAGACCTTCCTAGGACATCAGTTTTACTAGAAACTGACTGCAAAGAATCACATGTGATTCTTAACCATATTAAGAAAATGTGTACATGAAAATGTCAAAATTACACGCAATTTTAAGGTAAGACACAGTTACCCAAAAGCAGATTATTGCTTCTGGCTAAACCCATAGAATCCTGGTCACTGGTGTTTAGATTTTAAAAAATTGTCAAAAGATGGACTTGGCATGTTACCCACAGGCTCGTTGGTAGCACAAAATTTTAACTTAAATTCCTAACAGGCAGTGAAGGTTCATCCACACGTGGAATATTCTGTGACCCTTAGAAAGTACGGTTATAGGGGGAGGTACTGTAGAGAAATGTGTGCAGTGTCCTGTCAGTGAGATAAAACGTGGTACATTAAATTGTACATACACTGCGTGTTTTCATGTATTAAAGATGGAAACTGGAAGTAAATGTCTGAAAGTGGATTTTATGGTTTGGGGGAAAATTTGTTTTCTACGTTATTCTGTCACATAGCTATATTTCTTTATAATGAAAAGTACTTTAAGTTAAAGATAGGGAATTTGAAGCTAAAAATAAGCATTTTAATTGTCCTGGGAGGGATTGGAGAATGGATAGAAAGGACCAGAAACAAATTGGTAAGAGCAGAAATAAAATTATATAATAATAAAAATACATAGCACACAAAGGGAAAACTCACCTGAGTTTTATGTATATACATATACACACACACACACACACACATAAATGTTTATTGGTAGTAGTAAGTTTCTGCTTGTGGTTATTTTATGTCAATAGTAGTCAGTGTAACATTTATTCTTATTATTAATAATGTGATTGATACCAACAAAAACATAGGTCCCTGCATTTGCTGTCAGTGTGCACGTCCATGGCATTCTGGGTACTCGTGATGTGTCATGTGATGTAAAATAATGAGCTGTACTGTGAGGTCAACCCAGGCAGCAGTTGGAGAGATAGTGTGTTTTCTTAGTGCCCCCCTGTCGTGGTGGCAGCTGGGTCCTGATCCGTGCTAATCCAGTCCTGTGAATGCCAAGGACTCCCTGTGGAGGGACCGGGAGGTGGCCCTTCGATGGTAGCCTTGCAGTTGTCACCTCCTACCTTCCTCCTCGCCATAGACAATGGCTACACCCCTGGGTCACGCTGGCCCCGCCCAGGTCTGTGTCTGCTTTGTCTGTGTTGGGCTTACATTTTGTCCTGCTTAGAGCGTAGTATTTCTCTAGCATTAAATTGGAGTCTTTCCAAGCCCAACAAATGCTGCCAGCTCATTGCTAGCCACTGACTGAACCTGGTCTCATTGTCATCATTCAGGTCAGTGTGAAAGGTGCTAAGAAAAGAAAATGAGCCTCCAGGGTATTGGGGCAGCATCACCTCCAATAAATACCCTTTCATAGTGGTTCTTTGTCACCAGAGCTGTGAGCCTCTGTCTCAGCAGAGCCTGCAGAGGCTCTTGTTGAACTCGAACGATTAAAAGTCCAGAAATGCTACTTCTAGTGATTGTGATGTCGTCACACCTGGTAGAAGAGAACACCTGGTAGTTGTCTGAAGAACTCTTTTGAGTCTGTGAAAAGGTATTTGAGAGGACGAAGACCAGTCATTCTCCTCCATCACTCAGAACAAGACAAAAAGGGATCATTCCGTAGCGTTCATGAGAATTACGAAGCAGGGGCACAATGCACTCCCCTGAAGAGCTTTTTAAGGAGAACCCATACGCATCATTGCCTGGGCATAGGTCAGATTAATCTGCTGGGCATTTCCTCTCCCTGTGCCTCTGGGAAATAGACTACCGTTAAAAATGATCGTGCCCTTCACTCCTCTTTCTCTTCCAGGCTCTCCTGTACTTCATCCATGTAATGGATCACATCGTTGTGAAGGAGTACGTGCTAGTGTATTTCCACACGCTGACCAGCGAGTACAATCACCTGGACTCCGACTTCCTGAAGAAGCTCTGTGATGTCGTTGATGTCAAGTGAGTCGTTTCACCACTTACGGAGGGGCCGCAGCCCCTCATGTACATATTCATGTACCCAAACTTTCATCGTTCAGAGTTTAGATATTTTAATAATAGTAGGTGCTCCTTAACTTCAGCTTACCACATTTAAGTAAATTCATATGTAAACTGTTGCCTGCTTTTAAACACCTTGAAGAACAGTGGGGGGCATTGCCATTCTTTATATATAAAATGTAACAAAAATACCATCTTCTACTTATATGGTGCTTCACTTATCAAAATATATTTATAAACATTATTTCATTTGTCTAATGATCTGTGAGTTTGTTCACTTGTAACCTGATCTCAGAGATTCCAGAGCCATGTAACAAAAAGCACACCATAAATTTGTTTGTTAAATATGAATTTAGTGTCCTTCCTGTAGCTAGTTAAACATAAGGATAATCTACATTTGAAGGATGGGAAAATATGGACATTCAGAAAGGCAGATGGGAAAATATGGACACCCGGAAAGGCGAGGTGTGTTGCTCAAGGTCTCACAGCATTAAATGCAGAATTTGGACTTGAACCTGAGCTTCTGACTTACAGCCAGAACATTATTTTCATTAAACCATATATCCCTTGAAGTGATAGTGGAAATTTTAACCAGAATATATAGACACCCCACTACAGCAAAGATAAAATATTCTGCTGTAACATTTCCTCTCAGTAATAGAATCTCTAAATAAAAACAGCAGTCTTCCCTCATGGTTTTTTTATTACTGGTAGCACACAATGTCTGGATGGGTCGCACTGAAAAATCGGTAAGGCAGTCAGTGTACAGAGAAGGCAAATTACAATAAACTTTCATCTGTCTTACTCCTCCCCTTCAATCTCATCTTTAATTAGAACCACTAAAGTTTTCATTGCCTAATAGACATCTTTTTAGCTTACTCCAAGTGTGGGTTTTATAAGGAAGCTTCACTCCTCTGTAATTCTGCCTCTACTGCTACCCAGGTCTATAACTTTGAACTTCATTTAACTGTGAAATGAACAGCTTGTACTATTTCTCTGAAGTGCTCTCCAGTTCACCTTACATGACCCAGTGGTGATTGATAAGCTGTGGGAATAAGTTCAGGCACGTTGGGAGAGGCTAGAAAGCATAGTGGTTAAGAGCGTGGGCATGGAGCCATGCTGCCTGGGTTCAGTTTCTGCCTCCACCAGTTGACACCTGGGCGACTTTGGAGGGGAAAGCAGAGACAGTGTTAGTACTCAGTTCATAGAATTGTTCTGAGACTTAAGTATAAAGCCTTCATACAATTCCTGGAATATAGGAAGCTCCCTGTATTGTTTTACCATGTTCGTTGAAACTTTTAATTTCTAATTGATACTATAATTTTAAGTGGTTTTACTCTGGGGTCAGTCCCTGACCCCAGAGATTTTAGGTTCATGTAAAAAAATGGCATACAATACAATAAATGTTTGTCAAGTATGAATTTCCTTTGTCCTACCTGTAGGTGGCTTTGTTATGGCCAGGAAAAACAGTGTCTCCTATAAAACAGACACTTTCAATAATGAAATGTTCTCTGAATTGTTTTTGACATTTCACGTAAAATTCAATATGTAGACTAGAGCTGCTTAAAATCTTTTTTTTTTTTTTTTGCCTCTCTGACTATAGTCAAGCAAGGAATTAATTGTCCATAATGGCGGCTGCTTTTAGGCATAACTTATACTGACCCTTTTTTTAATTTTAAACCAGGTACAAGAGGAACTTGAAGGCTGTTTATTTTGTTCATCCAACATTTCGGTCAAAGGTACAGTATTTTTCTTTTTAGCTAAATCTTGAGTTTATGGGCACTGCATGCCAGCAGGTTAAGATGCACTTCAGCACCTAAATTCTTGCCGACACCACTGTGACCACCAGTCCCTCCGTTTGCCTTCCTGGGTAAGCGAGCTCCAGCATGGCCCCAATGCCGGTCGCATGTCCTTCTAGCGTCTTTGCAGGTGACCCTTATGAGCTGTCGGCCTCTCAGCCTTTGCTTCTTCTTGCTCTTTGTTCATCCAGGCTTTGCTTGTGTTGTCGCTACAGAATTCACTTCCCTGCCTTCGCTCTCACTTGTCCTCCAGATCTCGGCAAGGAGGACAAGTAAGACAATTACTTTCCATAGAAAACCTTCCCTGATCAACCTTGCGGCTAGTAGGTGTGCCCTCATTGTATCCCCTTAAGATGGTCTGGTCTTCTATCATCGTTGTGTCTTTAGTTCAGATTACTTGTTTAATTTTCTGCCTTATTTGTTAGCTTGCAAGACTCATGAGAGCTGGGGTGTAGCCATCCGGCTCACAGCTCTGGCCTGCTGGCTAACCCTGCATCTTGACTTCATTGACATGTCTAGGGCTTTGGTCCATTTACTTCTCTGAAAATGTAATCTCTTCTGAAATTTTTTTTTCTCTTCAATCTAAAACCCATCTTCTGTCACTTCAGCTACTCTTGTCCATTCCTAAATAACATATGGCCTCTCACCTTTTGCCACATCTGCCCATTAAAAAGTTGCCGTGTCGAGACAGTCCAGCAGTCTGCTTTCTTCACTCCTGTAGTTGAGTAGCTGAGCACTGATGGAGAATCCTGGAACCACGTGATTCGGGACTGCCGAGCACACTCGTGGGGCTTGCACTGCCCTGGGTCCTTTGATGTTTCACTTGACAGTGACCCAGCGTGGCTGTCTGCTCCCCCAAGCCCTCCCCTACCCGCAGCTGCTCACTGCAACCGAAGGTCGCCTTGGTCTTAGCGAGAACATAGAAAACCTCAGTGAGGAGCTCCCTGCCTTCTCCTTCCCACCCCCCACTTACCTGCCATTTGTTCCATCACGACCTCCTCTTTCTCGGTCACAGAAATGTTTCTTCTTAATGAAGGGCCATCCTGTCCCTGAGCAAGTAGCAAAGGCAGGCTTTGCTTTTCTTTTTTCTTTTTTTATAATATGTTTTATCGATTATGCCATTACAGTTGTCCCATTTCCCCCCTTCATTCCCCTCCACCCTGTACACCCCCTCCTCCACCATTCCCCCCTTTTAGTTTATGTCCATATGTCAAAAGTTCTTTAGCTTCTACATTTCCCATACTACTCTTGCCCTTCCCCTGTCTGTTTTCTCCCCACCATCTATACTACTTATTCTCTGTACCTTCTCCCCCTGTCTCCACCTCCCACTCCCCTGTTGCTAACCCTGCATGTGATCTCCATTCCTATGGTTCCACTCCTGATCTAGCTGTCCGCTTAGTTCGCTTTTGTTTTGGGTGTGATTGTTAATAACTGTGAGTTTGCTATCCTTTCACTATTCATATTTTTTATCTTCTTTTTCTTAGATAAGTCCCTTTAATATTTCATATAATAAGGGCTTAGTGATGATGAACTCCTTGAACTTGACCTTATGTGGGAAGTGCTTTATCTGTCCTTCCATTCTAAGTGAAGACTTTGCTGGATAGGTCAATCTTAGATGTAGGTCTTTGGTTTTCATGACTTGGAATACCTCTTTCCAGCCCCTTCTTGCCTGTGAAGTCTCTTTTGAGAAATCCGCTGACAGTCTGATGGGCACTCCTTTGTAGGTGACTGTTCCCTTAGCTCTTGCTGCTTCTAGGATTCTCTCCTTCATTTTAATCTTGGCTAATGTAATTATGATGTGCCTTGGCGTGTTTCTTCTTGGGTCCAACTTGTTTGGGACTCTCTGAGCTTCCTGGACTTCCTGGAAGTCTATTTCCTTTGCCAGATTGGGGAAGTTCTCCTTTATTATTTGTTCAAATAAGTTTTCCACTTGTTGCTCTTCCTCTTCCCCTTCTGGTACCCCTATGATTCAGATGTTGGAATGTTTAAAAATGTCCTGGAGGTTCCTAAGCCTGTCCTCATTTTTTTGAATTCTTATTTCTTCTTCTTTTTGGTTTGGTTGTTTCTTTCTTCCTTCTGGTCCACTCCATTGATTTGAGTCCCAGTTTTCTTCCCATCACTATTGGTTCCCTGTGCATTTTCCTTCATTTCACTTAGTGTAGCCTTCATTTGTTCCTCTAATTTGTGACTGAAATCAACCAGTTGTGTGAGCATCCTGATCACCAGTGTTTTGAACTGTGCATCTGACAGGTTGGCTATCTCTTGGTCGCTTAAAACTATTGGCTCTGGTGCTTTAATTTGTTTTTCCATTTGAGCTATAATTTTTTGGTCTTGTTGCACCTGTTACATATGAGGGGTGGAGCCTTAGGTGTTCGGGGCTGGGGGCAACCAAGTTGCTGGGTTGTGATGCTATTCGTGGGGGCAGGGTCAGAGAGGGAACAATGGCTCTTGCTCAGCTCGTATTTCAGTCCCTTCTGCTGCTTCCCACAAGCAAATTGGGCCCTTCCGGTGCTGGTTCCCAGGTGGGTGGGCTTGCGTACATTCTAGGACCCTGTGAGTCTCTCCAACAAACTCTCCTGTGAGGCTGGGAGTCTCTCCTTGCGCCTTCACCCCCACAAGTGTTTTCAGTCAGTGCTTTTAGGCTTTATTTCCCATTGCTGGGGCCCCGGGTTGTGCAGTCTGTCTCACTGCCCGTTTTTTGCCTGGTTTTTCTGCACGTGAGTGTGTGTCCACAGTCAGCCAGTGGCCCAGCAGTCTCACTGGGTTTGTTCATTTCCTCTCTGCACCCAGGTCTGGCAGCCACCGCCTTTTCCTGCCTCGACCCCTCTCCACCCCTCTTACCGGTCTGGAAGAATGGTTTTGGACTTCTGTACAGTTCAATTTTCTGTCTGTTTTGGTTGTGTTTTTATTTCTAAATCTTTATTGTCCTTAATTTTGGTTGTGCGAGGAGGCACAGGGTTTCCACCTACGCCTCCATCTTGGCCAGAAGTCGCAAAGGCAGGATTTGAATCTAGGCATTTCAACTCCAGCGCCTACCCTCCCAACTCCGTGATACATTTCTGTTTTCTCAGGAACCTCTCCTCATCAATTATCCTCCCTCCCCTCTCCCACTTTTGGGGATATAACTAATTAACTTCTAAATGTACTTAACTCTCTCCTCTTTACAACCACCAAAGATTAAAATTTGTTAAATCTTTATTGAATTTGTTTCCATTACCGTGTAGTCCCCTTATATCCCCGTCCTTCCAGCCCACAATGTTTTAGTGTCTTCTGTGTCCTGCGTTCACCATCTCCGTTTTTCAGACGCCTGAACTCACTCCGTCTGGTTCGACTTTCACCGTGGCAGCCAGACCTGCTCACCCCAGAATCACTGGTCATCTCCGCTACTCAGCCCAGGAGATGCTTTTCAGTTTCTGTCTAACCTGTTTCCCTGTAGCCTTAACCGCCACTGACGAGTTCTTTCTCAAAACGCTGCCTCGGCTGCTTTGAAACCCACCTTGCCTGGTTTTTCTGCTACTTCTAGCTGCTCCTTCTCAGTCTCCTTTGCTGTCCCCTCTTTCTCGGCTCGGCCTTCGAGTGTCAGTGTTCCCGAATCCTTTGCCCATTCTTCCATTCGGCGTCTTTTGTCGTGCCTGTGTCTTCAGCAGCCTTCCAGGACATAGCCAGTCCCCAGACGTGTGTGCAGGGAGGCAGTGAAGGCTGGTGTTTGAAAGCACAGGCTTGAAACTGATGTAACATGGGTTCCAGTCCCACCCAGCTCCACCAGGTACCCACTTCCCATCTCAGGCAAGTTATGTAGCCTCTCTGTGTTTTAGTTCCGTCTTGTATAAAGTGGGAATGGGAATAGTGCGCACCTTGGTAGGGTTGTCGGAGGGATGAACCTGACACGTGTTAGATGCTTAAAACAGTAGCGGACGCCGACTGGACACTCAGTGAGTGTGAGCTGCCGTCATCGTTCCTGCGCTAGGCCTGCGTGTTGAGACACTGATTGGAGAGCTTCACCTAGTGCCCCACAGGCCTCCTCAGCATGGCCTCCTTCCTCCCTCCTTCACTCCCAACCTGCTGTTTATGTTCCCTTTCTTAGTAAACAGGACCACGGCCTACCCAGGGGCCTGAGCCAGAAACCAGAGAGGTAGCCTTGGGTACTTCTCGTCCCTCACCTCTTCCCAGACTGCGTCAGTGGTGTGTGGTCATCGTCCCAATTCACGCCTCCGTCTTCAGGCCCGGCTAGTGACGTTTTCTTACAAAGTTAATGTAGGAAGCCTAGAGCATTTACTACAGGGTCCTTTGCAGAAGTTTGCCAAGGCCTGGCCTTAGGCAAAAAGAAAAAGGAATCTGAGTATATTTGTGGGGTTTAGAGGAAAAAAGTGACTTAGTTTGGCATTAAAACCCAGCATGTAGTGATTTATTGGATATGAAGGAATGAGAGAAAGGGTGGTGTCATCCATGACTCCCCTGGTGGCATCAGATGTGGAGACCATGGATTGGGAAATACGTTTGAGGGTCAACATCAAGTAAACTGAGCTTTAGCTTTTTAAATGTGCTGATGAATAAAGTCTCAGACAGACCTAGAGCACAGGGGACGATTGAAGACAGCCCTGGCATCGGGGAAGAGGCCTGGGAAATAAGTAATACAACGATCAGCAGGAAAACTGAGATTTGACTAACACTGGGGGAGCCAGTGGGTGGGAAGAGCATCAAAGACGGTAGAAATAGTCGTTATTTTAGAGCACTGTGCAGAAGTTAAGTAAGCTAAGTAGTGAAAAGTCCTCATATTTCATAATTAAGAGATGAGTGAAGACTGCAATGAGATAATGTTTTCCACTTTGGGATTTCTCAACAGAATTATTGTTGAGTTTCTTGTGCAAGTATCGCCTTTAAAATTGGCCTGAAGTATTTTAAGTAATTATTTTAAAAATTACAAATTTTCTTTTGGTCCC